AATAATTATTATTATTTATTTATTTACTTATTATTGTATTTATTTTCGTTTGTTATCGTCAACACTAAACATACAAATTAACATTGAAGTTATGAGTGTATTTATTTCAAAATATAATAAAAAAGAGTTTAAGAACACAAAATATACAATAATGACACGAAACTGTCGAATTATCAATTACCTAACCTTCAAATTCAAAATCAAAATTCAAAATGGCCTGTGTGTGAACCTTCCTCACATTCAACCAATCACGTGCAAGGTCAATCTGGTGACAAATTTTAAATACTCCTCCTGGCTTAAAAACAGAGTATAGGAGTAGAAAAAATTAAGGGTCCCTAGATTTAGGTTGGTATAACTAGCTCTGATAACTAGACCGCCCCTCCCCTCACTCCCATGTAACGTCACAAGACGCAACCTTAAAATAGCACCATTTAGCGGTGATAGGTTGAATTAATGCGTTGGCATCTAGCGTTGGGATGTTCAAGTAAACTGATTTAATAATATTACAAAAAAAAACATCAGATGCTAGAATTCCTGGTGTTCCTGTTAATGTTGAATCTACTATCTGTTGACCGAACATAACTTAACCTGTTCTTTTAACCAATTCAGTTCATAGTTTTACTCTAATTTATTGCAAAGTGTCCCTGAATTAACTAAGTCCCTTATTTCATTGGCTATTTGTCAAATTTGGATGATAATATCACCTTGAGCGTGGTATTTATTTAAAAGCATTTTTAAAATTTTTGATATTGTTTTCTTCTACAAAATCTTTCAAATATTCGCATCGTTAATAATTTAACCATAATCTACATAAAATCAAAAAAAAATTCTGTAATAACCAAGGGATTTTTTGAAAAATATCTTTCCACAGTAGCACCTCAATTAAACGGTTCGAAATTGCCGGCCGATTTATTTTGCGAAGAAGAGCCAGGCGTAATAATCCCCCCTTTTCGCCGGGGTGGAAAAGTTCTTGAGGGGGGAAAACGTGGCGATCATGGCGCCTCCATCAATCAACCAAGGATTACCTCGGACTGTTATTAAGAACGTATGGGGGTAGTCTAGAGCGTGAAAATATTACACCGCGCTCCTCATCTTTACCCCTTCCCCCTCAACCCCATTCCTTATTTCCAGCGAACGAAAGTGGGGGCGGGGAGCACTCAACTTCGTTTCGAGAGGCAACTAGACTCTATTTTTTTTAAATTTTCCTTCATTATAAAGATTAAAAAGAATTGGAACTTTTTTATGATTTTGTTTATCTGTTAATTCATTCTTCCTTTATTGATGTTGGGTGCCCAAAATGTAAATATCCCACCCTTGTGACGATAGGAAGTGGGTAACGAGCTACTGATTACGTTGGATCCCTACTTCCCCAAAATTTCAGCCCCCCCTTTACACCCCCCTTTTCCCGGTTGCCGCGTTCGCGGAAAGTGAGTTAGCGCGTCGGCTTAAAGTTGTGAATAATCCAGGAGCTTAGCAGTGACGCGAGACCGGTGTGAAGTTGGCTGTTATCTAAGTCGCGGATTTCGGTGCGGGGAGACCGCTTCAAGTTTCGACAGCAGCTCTCCCTCCCCCCTCAACAGTTTTCCAAGCTACCCTCGAAAGTGGCGCCTCGCGTTCGTATTATTATAACTTATACCCACGCTTCTGCTTGGAGAAGTTGTGTTCTTGGGTGAGATCATACATACATGCATGATTGGTCGGGGAGGATTGCTAATTTGAACGTGAAAACGGATGGGGTTGGGGGAGATAATAAATATATTTAAACCGTTTTCACGTTTTGTGGACGTTTGATGTATAGGTTGAGTTGGGAAACGTATTGGTTTTCGAACCAGAACCCTAAATAACTCTTGATTTTACCATTAAACTCTGTTCAATGTGGTCAAACCTACTATTTTACATTAAAAGGGGATACAATACATTTTATTTTTTTTATATACGTAATTTATTTTAAAAAATCATAAATAATCGTTCATTAAATTAAAAACTTTCGGGCAAAACGATCTTGCTATATCAACGTAAGGCGCAAACGAATTAACCCTTAACTTTTTCGAAAAGCTTCTGCTCCCCCAAAAATTCACCACAAAACTTTTCTCGATTAATTTCCAAACGTTTTCATTTTCGCGGGCATCAAAAAGTTGCGTCCAATTCGTCCAAGGGATTGGATAAAAAAATTCGCTCGGATATATTTTGATTGCCTCGCATCCACGTTGGATAATCGCGGAGGTATTCGTTTCTTTACAAATCATTTTAATTATTTTAGTAGTAAAATCCGAACCACCTCTCGATTTCAAAATAAAAGTTTTCCAGTACTCTTCCAACATTTTCGTTACGTATTCGTGGCCGAACTCTTCAGAACTAAACCCCATAACAGCACTTCCAATTCTCGAATCGCTTTCAGCACCGAGAAAGTTTCTGGGCATCTTGTGTAACGATTTCAAAACGATAACGTCCAAATCTAACGTAATCCCACCAAACCTCCATAAAGTTAACAATTTCAGTATATCTTCAGCGTACGAATAAGAATGTAACGTTAATTTTTCAACAATAGTCATCGCAACATCTTGAACCGGCGTATTTTCGACATACTCAACGTAATTTAAATTAACGAAATAGATGTTTTTATAAGATTTTTGAAGTTCCATAACCATTTTTGATGAAGGATTTGTATCTTGAATGGGTAAACGTGCTTTCGCCACGAAAACCATGTAAATGTTTTTGTTGGGGTTTGTTTTCGCGACTGATTCCAATGCGCATAATTGTCTTCTTTCTAATGTGATTTGTTGGAAATGCTTCGAAAGACAGGATGTTTCTATTAGGAAGATACCTTTGTTTCTTGGGATGTTTGTGTCGAGTATGTCAGCTAGAGGAGACGGTCCAACTTGTTGGTAGCAAAATAGTGGGTGAAGTCGCTGATGCGAGAGAGTTAATTCGGTTATAATCAGAATAATTAGGATGGTTTTTAATGACATATTAGACATTAATGGGGTTAATAAGTCATAACATACTTTGTTTTTTTCTATAGTATACTGGGAATTTCATATAACTCGAAATATATGATTGCAGTAACCATAGTTACGAAACTACTATGCACTTGCACTGTCCCACATAAAATTCAACATAGCTAAATAGTACAGGCATTGGTTAGCTTTACAAAGGAAAAGTTTTGCTTGGAAAAGGTGACGTCGCACAGTGGTCCACAAGCGGTAAAATATGAACGAAAATCAAATTTTCGAATTTTTTTTACATGTTACATGTACTTTAGGTCCTAATAGACTAAGGGCCGGTTGTACAATATAGCGATAAACTTCCCGGCAGCGTTATCTGGCAGATAAGTTAGTTTGTACTGTATTACAATGTACGGATATTTTTGTCGGTGAGATTATCGGCAGGATAACTTATCGGGTACTCAGCGGTGCCGATAAGACACTTATCCGGCAAATATTTATGGTTACCAAGGTTTTTATATAAAAACTTTGTATGATTACTGCATAGGTTAACGTCTAACATTAAACGTTAACCTTATATGTACGATGTGTCAGTGAAAATTTTTTTAAACAATTTATGTTGTCAAAATTTTAATTCAAACTTCAAAGAAAGACGTTGGCGTTACCATTCTACGGCATAAATCACTAGATATGGGGAAAAACTACTACCAACCGACTCTTATTTCGCCGATAGCAATCCTACCGACAAAAACAGTTTGTACAACAGCGAATATCTTTATCCTCCTGATAAGTTTATCGGGCGGATAGATATCAGGTAGATTTATCGGTATATTGTACAACCGGCCCTAAGAGGTGAAAGGAATAAAGTATGTACTTTCTAGTACCAACTGTACGCAATTATACAGTACTACAATTCTTGTGTATTAAATATCATAAAATGCTACAACTTTAGATGAAGAAAATATATTGTGTTCCACTTTTTCAAGACAATGCGTTGTTGCTATCTTGAACAGTATAGAAAGGTCTTCATTTGGCACTATTCTAATTTTATTAATTAGAATAGTCCTATTAATTAAATATTTTTGCAGAAATACGTATTAAGCACTTCTTTTAAAGCTAATTAACACCTACTTGAAGTTACAACCAAATGTTTTAACATATACAGTGTGTCCCCGGATTGTGTCCCCGTATTATACCTATTATCGTATTATACCCCGTATTATACCTATTTATCGTCAATTATACCTATAATTGACGATAAATTTTTGAATTCAAGTTCCATATTTTGCAATTAAAGTCTGTTTGTTTATAACTTTTTCTAATATGATCCAACGGAATTTCTCTAATAACAGTTTCAATTTTTTGTTTTAAACGATCTAAATTGTTATTAAAATTTTCAGTGTACACTTTTTGTTTTACATAACCCCAAAAATAAAATCCCATAATAGATAAATCCGGACTTCTTGGCGGCTATGGTTGCGGACCATATCTACCAATCCATTTTTTTCCAAATAACGTATTTAAATAATTTCTAATAATTAATATGGTCGAATGTAGGCCGCAACCATCTTGTTGAAAATATAATTTATTGCGTTTTTCTAAAAGCACGCCATGAAGATAATTAAATAAACAATTTTTTAGTGTTTCCGAGTTCAGTAAACTTCAGTAGTTGTGTGCTGTTTCCCACAAAACAGCACACAACTCACTCAGTTTCTGGGAATACTGGTCTTTGACCAGAATCGACAATGTTGTGATGTAACCACTCCATTAGTGATGAACGATGCTTCCTCCGAAAATATTGTGTTTTTTAAAAAAGTTCTGCCTTATTATGTATTAGTGTTGGTGGTGGTATCATTGAATAAGCTTTTATGTTAATTTAGTTTAGATAGAAAATGTTTTGTTAATCTTATGATTTAAAAATCTGCATTTTGCTTTTATATCCTCAATTAATAAAATTCGGCATATCGCTATAATTTAACATAATAAACATTTTATCTTAATCAAATTTTGTTGTACATTGTTCAGAAAGACAACCGTTGCAGGTAAAGTGTTACCTGCAACGGTTAACAAACTTCATGCGTTAATAATTGTTTTTGGTTTTTCTTAACATCGTGTTGATTTAGATGAAAATACTTTTTCTATACTTTTTCAATGTTATATTTATTTAAATTCTGTATTCTACATGTTTCGAGGATCCAGTCCTCATCCTCAGGAAAATTCGTCAATTTTTGAATAAAAGATAACCATATCCCTCAGATTACAATTTAAAATTTCTTACGAAAAAAAATTTCATCCAAAACTGGTTCCATAATACACGCCGATGAATTCCAGAAACTTCCAATTCAAAATTTTTAATAGTTTATTTCTGTTTTATTTATTTTTTTTCGTAAGAAATTTTAAATTATAATCTGAGGGATATGATTATCTTTTATTCAAAAATTGACGAATTTTCCTGAGGATGAGGACTGGATCCTCGAAACATGTAGAATAGAGAATTTAAATAAATATAACATTGAAAAAGTATAGAAAAAGTATTTTCATCTAAATCAACACGATGTTAAGAAAAACCAAAAACAATTATTAA